GGGTTATGCTGTTGGTGTTGCCCTGTTGGGCATGGACATTGACTCACGATTCTTCTGTATCATTCTCAAATGGATGGTTACTCGGTTCCATTGTGCTATCTGCTCTGGCTTTGACTACATGGACTTGTGATTTTGCAATCTGGATTTCTGTGCTTTGTCCATATTCATGTTCCTTGCATCAGGCAAATCTTGTTTAATTTGTTTTTCTTCATAACATATCTTTTTTTAGATTTTTTTGATTTGTTTGTTTTTTTTCGTTTTTTTTTTTTTGGGTTCGCGTTCGGCCCGAACGGCCGAACGCATCCCCAACGGGTCCCATACATTTGGGCATTCGGGTTCGGGCGTTCGGCCTGTCCCGAATGTCGGTTACGCTGTATATATATTTTACGAAAAAAAATTACGTTCGCCCGAACATGTTCGTGAGCGGTTCGCGTGAATGCGCGAACACGTTTGCGCGAACCTGAAGGGGTGCGAATACATTCACCGTGCTACACAGGGTAGAACTTTTTGTTTCTCCTTATCAGTTTTCTGTTTGTGAACTAGTCAAATAAAATAGTTTCGTTTGTAGGAATCTGGGCTTTCCTATTGGACCCAAATGTGTATCGTCTGACAATCCCAACGATTAAATATTTTTATTTATTTTAAATCGGTTTGAGCACTGCGTTGCGGTAGGCAATCGAGTGTACCCTAGTGCAGACAGTGCACAGTGCTGTAGCATATGAGCGACAGGGAGGACCCTGAGCCGGACGATCGGATCCTGTGTTCGTCAAGCCGTAGACGCCGCTGGTCCACGTTGCGTAAGGACCCGAGGGTGACCGTCTTTTGTTCCGCCAAGCTAGGGAGAGGCAGCAGCAGCAGAGGACGACAAGGGACACAGAGGCAAGCAGAGCTTTCGGAAGCGAGGCAGCTACCTCATCAGCCAACAAGGCCACCTCTGCGCAAAAGAGTTCCCAGGCTAGTAATTCAGGGACTGTCGGGGTGACGGTCGCACAAACCCAGAGTCAGCCCGCTAGTGTTATGGCAAGCCAGCAAACAGTGTTAACTCCCGAGGAGGTCGCTGCAGCGGGCCGCTATCCGCCCTGGCCTACAGCCAGGGCCTACCTGGCTATTTGCCTGTTCAATTTGTTGTTTCAGTCCAGTCCAGTCCTGCCCAATACCACTGTCGGTACCAGGCCAGTCCAGTCCAGTCAAATTAGTCCGTTGGGGGTATACCCTAGCTGCAGTCTGTTTTGAGTTCATTCTTCATTCTGCACGTTTGGAGTACGTGCGTGTTGAGTCCGCGTCGGAGCTGCGTTGTCCCTTCCAACTCCATCTCCATCTCCTCCCCCTTCAACCCTTCGTCTTGATCCTGACGGACCGCCATCCCGGCGGGTCCGTCACATTGGTATCAGAGCAAGAACGTTCCCCGCTCCCACCCACCACACCTCGTCACAGTGAAAAAGTTGTAAATCCCGCTATCGGGATTCTGGCCCTTTTTCGGTCGTTCTTGCAGCGGACAAGTGGGAAGAAAGTACAGCTAGGAGGGTGCGACAGGTGGCACGAAAAGAGAGAGCGTCATCACGACGCGCGCAGGTGGCATGAAAAGAGAGAGCGTCGGCATGACGCATGCGCATAAGCTCCACGGCCAAGGCCGCCGCACACGCACACGCCACGTGCCCCATTGCCCCGCCCCACTCCGCTCCTGGACTATACATATCAAGATCCGGAATGTACGCTGCCGCCAGGGTTTGAACCCGGGCAGCCGCTGGCAATGCTCATGCGTAGCCAGTGCTGTAACACACTGGGCAAACTGCGTCCATGGTTCTATAGTGCGGAACGTTCGTGTTGAACAGTTCCACACGAGCTATTTACC